ATCTTCTTAAAAGGACTTAAACCCACATCTGTGTGTGTTATAGATCAAATATTATGTTCTGAAAAATCAGTGTGAGGAGACTTGTAAACATTTTGAATCTACCAGTAGCAAATGAAATAGTGGAGTAGAGTATGGCCAGCTTCTTTTCAGCCTTTAACTTGGTCTTGTTCCTGACACATGTTCATTAAAGTCTAAAATAGGCAGTTTATGCTCACTGACATTCTATAGAAATTCTAAATGTATATACTGTATACATAGAATTCTATGGAAATTAGTAATTTTTATCTGTTTGTATGAAGGAGAAAGAGTTAAATTAAGGAAGTGTAGTGTGGTTGATCCGAAATTTCTTCTGCTGTATTAGTTCCCAGGTGGGAATAGGCATTGTGGTTGATATAGTCAGTAATAAATGAGACTGCAGAATTAATAATTGAAGACAGAGAAATTAAATTGAAGAAAAAAGCCAAGGATTTGTCCTTTGTTTTAATCACATTTCCCTAAATATTTTGGGGAAAGTAGTAGTAACACTGTTTACTTAAAAAAAAATCACAATGAGCATAACTTAAGTCTCTCAAATTCCTTTCCTGTTTTTTGAACATTTGCAGTTTTCCAGAACTTTACCTTTAGATTTGAAAGCTTCCCCAGTATTTCTGGGAAAGAGCTTTTCCTTAGTTTCAGTTAATCCATATAATGTAATTGTAGGAATATATTGAAATACTTAAGCGATGTGGGAAGGACATTCGAGAGCATATTTAGTCAAACCCTAAAAGGCAAACTGAGACTTCTGGTCATAGTTCTCAGTAAGTTTCCTTCTTTGCCTGGTTTTAAAAATATATTGTAACTAAAAATATGATTATTTGAAAACTACATCTAGAATAATAAAAAATGCCCTGAAGTCCCCAAGTGCACAAAAATGCAATGTGTCTGCCAAACTTTAATTATTGGTTCATTAAACTTACAGATGGTTTAGTGAAATAAGTTGCTGATGAGTTCCACAAGCTGAGTGACACGAACCAGTGAATTTACAAATCTCTGTCTGTCAAACAGCTGCCAAAAGGTTCCTGAGATGTCTTTATAATTTATTGATTAAAATCACAAAATGTCAGGAAATGTGAATCTTAGGATGCCAACATTGCTATTTTTAAATTTTGGTTTTGTGCTGCAGATACATATATACGCACACACATTGGTTTTTATGTTGCTTCCTGGTTTTAATCAGTACCTGAAGAGGTCAGTTTGCAGAAAATATATAAAGTGTCAACCTGGTTAATGTTGCTCTGAAAATGTTACTTTGGGTTCTTGTGATCTTAATAGTGAAACTAATTTTTTGATCAACAGATTTTTTTAATGAAATTAAAATATTCAGCAAAGTAGAAAGAGCTGAACAGTTTAGGTTCTACCACTAATTTTATCAAATTGTACACTGTGATGGTTTATAATTTTTCCTAACTATAATCTTAGTTCAGCAAACTGTCACATAAGTTCTTATTTCCATGATTCACCATTATTCTGATGGGATTTTCATTGAATAAAGATTTTTTGGGGTTGAGACCGCAAAATTCTCAATAGTAACAATTTTATGAGAGCAATTTGTTTGGGGGCTGTTAAAATATTATTATAACAGTGATTCAAGCAGAAGCCTAGGAGAATTAAATCTGACTTCAAATGTTTTACATGCAGTTGCTGTTTTTCTGACATATTTGCCTCTGTCTTTTTTTGTATTTATTTTTAAATTAAGTGCTATGGACATAATGGATAGGTGCATCTGCTTTTCTGAAGTTTGGCAGGGTAATTTCATTGTTGATTATTACTTTTTTTTAGGGTTTTTTCTTCTCTGATTTCTAAAATAAATTCCAAAACACTCAGTGCATTATGTTAATTTGAGAAAAATAAATTAAATACAAAATTAAAATAAAAATGTCTAGCCAGGACTTCTAGGAAGAATACTTGCTTAAAATTAGGATAGCTCAACTCCTATAAAATGCTAAAACTTTGGCAAAAAATGTGTTTGGTGTTTGTTTTGTGCTGGGAGCAACTGTCCAGAAGTTAATTAAAAACACCCTCCCACTCTGTTGGAAGCACGTACCAGTCTTGGAATGGGTCTTTCAGCACTGCCGTATCAGAGCATCTTCCGTGCAAAACCAAGAACAGCAGCAAAATGGGTGTGACAGGTTGGCTGGTGTCCCTTTCCACCGGGGGTCGGAGTTGTGGGGGGACCAGGTTTCAGAGGAGGATGGGAGAGGCTGCCACAGCGTGAGGAAGAGGAGGGGACTGGACGTGCAGAGAGCTTGTCTCCAAAGAAGGCAAATCTGCAATGTAATAGGGAAATGTATAGCTGTCAGCATCACTGAGAGGGAAGGAGAGAAATGGCTTTCAAGCAAGCTGGTTATCAAAGCATTTACTGCTTTTTGATCAGCAGTACCCAGCTGAACTTTGCCCAGAAGCAGCTTGGTTGCCAGCACGGGTTTTGGCAGTGATGCTGTGTGCTGCCTGTGTCACAGGCTGCTGCCACTGCGTTCTGCAACTTGCAGGTAATCTTAAATGTAGCCTGTTCTGGATATGAAACGCTGATCTAGTCTCAAGTGTGGCAAAAGCATATATAACCTCAGTAAAACTTGTCCAGGAGAAATAAGACATTAGGAAGAGGAAGCGGATGCGTTGGCCTCAGCTGCATTCAGGAGTGGGTCTGATTCATTAGATACCCAACTGCACCAGCTTTCTGTCAACACGACATCGGTCTTGTCTGATTGAGTCTCAGCCAAAGAGTCCTCCTGCCAAATTTTTCGTGGACAGACTCAGATGTGATAGTTTGTAAAGCTGAACATTTCTCATCAGCATTCTGAAGGCAGCTTTTCTTGTGTCCCTGCAGTGATGACCCAGCAGCTTCCGTGGCTGTGAAGGAAGGGAGGATCAGATAGATCTTGAGAGAACTCTTGAGGATTGTCTGCCTTAAAAATGCTGCAGTCATGGGGAAACGGAGCCATTGAAGCTACTCCGGTTGTGTTTGGAGTTTTCTCGCTCTTTCCTTGTGATTAATGTAGTAAAAACTACTGTGGAATGCCCACTAGGGTATACAGTGTAATAATCTCCCAAAATACATAGGGTGATAGGTGAACATGCACAATGTAGATTTTGTTCTTATAGGCTCTTGATTGAGGAAATCAAAGGGCGTATTGCTGTGCCCATTCCTAAAGTGAAAGACTGGGCACAGAGCAGTGATGATTACCAGCGTTGGGGTGGCACACCCCTGATGTCAGCTCAGGCTCTCCACTATCGAAGGTACTGGATAACCATGAAAATAACCCCTTAACTTCTGTCGCTGTCCCAAGTTTGGTACATAATTTAAAATCTCTTCAAAAACTCTTTACCCCATGAAATAAAAGTTTGGGTAAATTGCTGTTTTTGATGGACCCTCTGGGTAGGGTGCTGTAGCATTTTCAGCAGAAATGTGGAATATGTCGAGCTAGGTTTGAGTGTTACTGTTATGTGCTTCCAATATCTGCAGTACCATATTCAAGTTCAGTTTGCTTTGGCAAACAATATTTTTGTACTTCTAAGAAGGGCTTTTACATAGTAGATTTAATGATTTTCATGTAAATGAACTAGCGATGCTAGTTTGTAGGGTGCGTCCGGAGGATTTGTAAATAAAAGTAAAATTTTCTCTGCATTGTAGTGAGAATTATATTTATTTTTATTTATTTAAAACGAATTTAACACCCAAGAGAAATAATAGTATCGTCGAGCCTCACCTCTTGCACGTGAAAGGCTGCACAGTTTCTCCCAGTTCTCCCTGTGTAGTGCCAAATCTCTTGGTTTTGGCTAAGTGTGTGTTCTGGAAAGACGTCGTCTGAAATTGGAGACAGCAAAGGATTTTGAGTGGATGACAATATAGTTAAGAATCAAACTTTGAAACTATGTGTATGTAATATACTTTCTCCGAGTAACAAAGCAAAAAATGACAAAGGGCATTACTCATGAGAAAGCGGAGTATGCACACGTGAAAATGTTGGCGGTGGTACTTGAGCAATTAATTCAGCAATTAACCTTAACCAAAGGTACCTGTGCTGCTCCTGAGGTATTTGTAGTAATAATACTGCGATACACAGCTGGTCTCCATGATACTAGCCTGCACATTGACACATTTTTGTTCACTCTTTCTGGGTTAAAGATCTGGAAATTCACATTTTTGAGATGACGTCCTAAATGTCTTTCCTGGACACACAGTTTCTGTGAACCTTTTAAAGGAACTATCCCAAGGCTTGGTATTTCGTGTCTGCTAAATCTCTTCATAAATCTGAAAATGAATACATTTGTCTCTGTGAATCATATTACTCCGTTAGTAGCAGAACTGGATTAATGTTGAATGTTTAACATTTTCTGACCTGTTAGGCTTGATATCACACTGAGAGGTACTGTACTATGAGAGATAGAGAAATAAGCATGTAAAACATTTTCTGGCACACTCTTCTTTGAGAAATTGTGTCACAGACTTCTGCACATTGACTTGCTGATGCCTCTGATGAGTCATATGCATTTCTGCTTCTGCTGTTCATGTCTGCAACCATATATATCTATATATACATTGTCTTTTTTAGGGCAGCATTATGAGAATCAGCAATGGTCTAATGCACAAGCTCTCTAGAAAATATTATAAATCCTCCTAGGTTTTTGTTGTTTGCTTGGTTTTTGTTTTTCTCCTCACTGAGTGACATCTTGACAGGCTGAGCCAGAATCTCTTTCTTACCCTGCAGGTATAGAAGGATAAAATACGTTAATGTGTTACAGTCCTCTGATAGTGCTGCTCTGCCTGGGATTCCTTGGATGTGCTTTAGCCTCTGTTTTGTTTTACGAGATACGGGTTAGAGAGCTGATTTCAATGGGGATGTTTTTGAGCTAATGTGAATATTGGTGGTTTGGAATACATTCAGCAAATGACAAATCCAGTAAAAGAGCATGACTGCATGTACTCAGTGTTTACTGTAGTTCCCTGTGTTTAATTGCAGACCTCAAAAGAGGACCTTCTACAAGCTGATTTTGAAGGAGCTTTAAAATTCTTCAGGGTTCAGTTGCCCAAGAGGTACAGAGCTGAAGAGAACGCCAGAAGACTGATGGAACAAGCTTGCAACATTAAGGTAAGGGTGGTCTTCGTTTCTTCTCGTTTACCCAGGGTTTTTACAGGAAAAGTAAGGTGCAATGTTAGGAATGGCATTAGTGTGCGGAAAGTAAAGTAATGAAATCATTAGTCTATTACTTTTTATATATGTTTGTATATTTATGCACACACTTTTTATATTTAAAGAAAGTAAAGCTCTGAGCTTTTCCCTCTTTGTCTGCTTCGGTACAAGCTAATAATTAAAATAGAAAACCGATGCATGATCAAACTGAACTATCAGAACTCGTAATTAATGAATTCATTTATAAACAGTGATTACACTAAACCAATTAATCGAATGTATGATAATCATGCAATTAAAGGTCAGATATTATTTGTTTTGCCCAGAAGCTATTGATTTGCTGAGTGCTGCTGTATAATACTGTCCTGGTTTCAGCTGGGATAGAGTTAATTTTCATCATAGTAGCTGGTATAGCACAGTGTTTTGGATTTAGGATGAGAATAATGTTGATAACACTGATGCTTTAGTTGTTGCTGAGCACTGCTTACACTAAGTCAGGGACTTTTCAGCTTCTCATACTGCCCTGCCAGCGAGGAGGCTGGGGGTGCACAAGAAGCTGGGAGGGGCACACCAGGACAGCTGACCGGAACTGGGCAAAGGGATATTCCATACCATACGATGTCACGCTGAACAAAAAACTGGGGGGAGTTAGCTAGGGGGGCACGGCTGCTCTCAGGAACTGGCTGGGCAGCGGGTGGTGAGCAATTGCATTGTGCATCACTTGGTTTGTATATTCTTTTATTGTTATTATTATTTTCCCTTCCTTTTCTGTCCTATTACATTGTCTTTGTCTCAACCCACGAGTTTTACCTTTTTTCCGGTTCTCTCCCCGTCCCACTGCAGGGGAGTGAGCGGACAGCTGTGTGGTGTTTAGCTGCCTGCTGGGTTAAACCATGACAAATGCAATTGTATTGGGGTAGAAACTTAGTTTTGTTTGTATATCAAGCTTACCAAGACAGAATATTTTTCTATATTCTACCCTATCCAAGACCGTGCTGTCAAAAGGTAGGCTTCTTTGAGCATCTGGAGCACAAGTATTGGGCTTATAATGAATGATGGCAAGTTAGAGGAGCCTGACTGTAAGTTTTTGAGGATGGAAATCTTCTGTTGAAAATGGCCACAGAGGTTCATAAAGCTGTCATTTGAAAGGTCTGCTATTTTTTCTGGGATTTTTTTTGTGGGAATATGCATAGCTATGGATGGGCTTAACATTTGATCTTGAAAAAAAGTGCTTTTGTTTTTTCATGGAGTGGGAGCACTGATGGGAAATGTGTGTTTGGTGTGGCCCAATAATGGCTGAGAACATCGCATCAGAAAGAATGCTCCTCTAACACTCCACCTTTTTATATCTCTCTCAATATATTTATTAATCTACTTTTGTGCTGCTTAATTTCATAGTTTATTAAGCAAGGGCTTTTTCCATACTGGTTAAAACTCTGATCTTGTGAAAGAGGGGGGCTTGCTGTACTAATGTTTATTCTAGCCAGAAAAAAGCTCTGTGCAAAGGTTTTATTAAAATTGGACTTGAGATTTGAGCTCTGCTACCGAAAGAGAGTATTTAGGAGTAAAAGACTACAGTTTGACGTTTAGTGTTTAGTCCTTTGCTCAGTTCTTGAAAATGAGTAATTTAAGGACTTACTAAGTACAATGAAACTATCTTTATATTGTTTACTCAGTGTGTGTTTTTCTGATGAGAGGTTGAAACAGAAGTCCTCGTGGTACTTTTTGGAAGAGATATTTGTCAATTTTCTGGGGCCTGCCTTTCTCATTTTCTTGTGTAATATATTGTGTGTCACATGATGATTATTTTTCATTGATTTTTCGATCTGTATTGCATATGTATGTATATGATGTGTTTTGTTGGGAAAGTATTTTGCAATGCATTTAAGGCAGGTGGTCGGTGCATAGTGCCTCGTATGGGTTCAGCACATGGGGCTTTTCAGAAGCAGAGTATAAAATCCTGAACTGTTCGTTGACGTCAGTGGGAAGGCGGCTGAAGGATTTGACAGCAAATCCACTGCCTGTGCAGGATTTCACACGTTCTGGATTCCGGCCCGTAAGAGAAAAGCACAGATGAGTACAGCAGACATGGAGTCAAGGCTCTCCCCTGTGTGTTACAGAAGTACACGAGGACTCATAGGAATTATTGGAATGCAGGGAAAATTCAGGGCTGAGACCTGGGGTTATCAGGGATGGGGAAGAGTCGAAGATTTAAGTTACCTTCTGCTGTGTTGGGAGTTGGGTTCTGCTAACTCACTGGGCGTGCGACTCACTCCTCATTCGGGTATGAGACATAGGAGGGGATCTAAACGGTGTCCTGAACAGTCTTTTGACAGGTAAGCTAGGAACAACTAAGCCCATGGAGAGGAGTGTTCTGCAACTCAGAGCCTTTTAGTTAAGGTGGTTGTCAGGATTAATGGCATAGTCAGGAAAGTTAATCTAAATAGGGAAAACTCTGAACCTAAGGTGGTGTGTTTAAAACAGTGAAAATGTGAAAGACTTCAAGAACTTACTGTGAGGAAATGCAGTGCAGGATCTTATTGGTGGGGAGGGTGGTAATTACTTTAAGTGAATCTGTTTTCACTCACTTGCACTCCTTCTGTCAGAGATGCCACTCATACCGATAGCCATATGCTTCCCAACACCAAGACTCCTGTCTGGCCAGGGTCACTTGTGTGTGATGAGGATGAGGGACAGTGGCTATAAAGTCCTCACTATGTCTCATGGATTCCTCTTGATTAACGACAATAAACTGGCTTTTAGACAAAGTTTTTGTACTCTTTAGGAGTCGAACAGTTCTCATGGTGTGATCTTTCCCTCAGAAGCTTGCTGGCTTCAGCTTGTCATTGCCGTCCTTTGTCTCTGTTTCCTCATTGCGGGTGGGTTTGTGGCTTCCAGCCTGTTCTCCTGTTGGCAGAGGTGACGTGCTGTAGCTTTGCTGCGGGTCTCCATCTGGCTGGTCATCTCTAGTACAGCCTCACCAGAGTGCCGGTCTTCTGATCTAGATATAGCAAGACATTCCTCACTGTTTGCTGCTTTGACTGCTGTCACTCGTGTCCTCGTAACCCATTCTCTGTATGGTTTCTTCTGGCGCTTTTGCGTGCAGACACTTCCATTCATACTTCTTTCAGACTGATCTTAGTATTTCTGTTACGCATCCCCACTGAGTGATCATGTGATGCCTTGACTCTGTTAACTCGATGTCCCACATTAAATTAAAACACACAAGAGTTGAACTGACTTCACATTCACAGTTTCTATTTATTTGGATCAACTTTTCTCACTGTTGCCAACTCGAATGTCCTCAGAGAGCCCAATCTGAATCACAGGAACGTAACCTCTGACTGGAGATGACACATTAACTATTTGATAGGCAGAAAAGAAAATCAGCTCATAATATAGAAGGTGACCGGGAGTAATCAACATGGTTTTATGAAGGGTAAATCATGCTTAACCAACTTGATAGCCTTCAATGATGAGATGACTGTCTTGGTGGATGAGGGGAGAGCTGAGGATGTTGTTTATCGTAGGTACAGTAAGTATAGACGCTGTCTCCTATAACATCCTTCAGACAAACTGATGAAGGTTGGTCTAGATAAGTGGACAGTGAGATGGATTGAAATCTGGCTGAATTGCTAGGTTCAAAGGGTTGTGATCAGCAGCAGGATGTCCAGTTGGAGGCCAGTCATTAGTGTTGTAACTCCGAGGTTGACACTGTGACCAATAGTGCTTAGCCTCTTCATTAATGACCTGAATGATGGAGCAGAGAGCACCTTCAGCAAGTTTGCAGATGATGCAAAGCTGGGAGGAGTGCCTATTAGACCGGATGGGTGTGCTGCCATCCAGAGGGACCTCGATAGGCTGGAGAAACGGGCAGGCGGGAATCTTGTGAAGTTCAACAAAGGGAAATGCGAGGTCCTGCACCTGGGAGGAACGACCCCATGCACCAGTACCTGCTGGGGGCCAGCTGGCTGGAAAGCAGCTTGGTAGAAAAGGACCTGGGGGTTCTGGTGGACACCAAGTTGAACATGGGCCAGCAGTGAGCCCTTCCTGCAAAGAAGGCCAGTGGTGTCCTGGGCTGCATTGGAAGGAGTTTTGCCAGCAGGTCAAGGAAGTAATCCTTCTCCTCTACTCAGCACTGGTGAGGCGCATCTGGAGTACTGTGTCCGGGCCTGGTCTCCCGAGGACAAGAGAGACATAGCTACAATGGTGAGAGTCTGGTGAAGGCCCATGAAGATGATTAAGGGACTGGAGCATCTCTCCTGTGAGGGAAGGCTGAGAGAGCTGGGGCTGTTCAGCCTGGAGAATAGAAGGCTCAGGGGGATGTTATCAATGTAGGTAAATACCTGGTGGGAGGAAGTAAAGAATAGGGAGCCAGGCTTTTCTCAGTGGTGTCCAGTGAACAGACAAGAGGCAGTGGGCACAAAATGAAATAAAATAATTTATTTATTTAAAAGCTATTTATTTATTAACTTCAGGGGTGATCAGACACAGGAGCAGGTTGCCCAAGGAGGTTGTGGGGTCCCCATCTGTGGAGATGTTCAAAACACAACTGGCCCTGAGCAACCTGCTGTAGGTAACCCTGCTTTGAGGGGGTGGTTTTAGATAAGATGTTCTCCAGAGGTCCCTTCCAGCCTCAACTATTCCATGATTCTATAATTAGATATTATAATCATGGTATTTATTTACAAACAGGAGCTAATAATTACAGGAGTTGACATGCTCAAATAGGAAATTATAGTCTTGATAATCATCACTAGAAGAGGTCCCAGGGAATGCAGAGGTTACGTGAAGAGTAGTTGTCTGTCTTGGTGAATGCAGCAAAACTTGTTCTCTTCAAAAAAAACCAAACAAGACCCTTAAACATGTTTTTTGTGCTGTATGAATGAGGCACTGTGTGTCTTTCAAATGCTTCTCACTTCTGTATTAGCATTTGTAGACTAAACACCAGATGCTTT